GTGACTTATATAAATAACTCAATTGCAACATGTAATAAATGTGACTGAAACATAACATGGTGGAAAATCCATGGGTTTTAAAGCCAGACAGACCTGAATTCTAATCTTAAATGCATCGTCTATTAGTTGTGTGAATTGCCCCTTCTGTGAATCTCCATCTTTTTTAGTCTATAAAATCTGGAGGGTAATTTTAAGAATTCCAAAATTGTTCTATTAAAACGTACCTGCCAAGCACCTACTCTGCTCTTCAAGGTAGTCTGGATTACACTGCGTAACAAGCAGCTTCAATATTCGGTGGCATAAAACAAGCAAGCTTTGTTTCTCATTTGCCATGTCCATTGCGAGTTGGCTTGTTGCCAGCCTCGCTCAATGACCCAGGCTGACAAAGAAGCCACTTCCAGGAATTTGCTGGATACAGTGGTTGAGAGCCAGTGGGAGAACTCTGGTTGGTCTCACACCAGCAGTTTAATGCATGGCTCAGGAGTGACACCTAATTTATTGGTCAGCACTGGTCTCTTGGCCCTACACATCACAAGGGGACCTAAGAAATCCTCTCTTACTATGAGCCAACAATGGGGGGAAACTAGAAAAATGTGGTAAACGCTGCCACTGATTGTTTTATTTGTTGTGACCCAGACTTTGGAACAGGCATGCCAGACCTGGCAGTGTCTGGCCCCAAGTAGGATCACATACCTGTTGTTCATCCTGTATTATTGCCTAGCACTGAACTCCCAGATTCTGTGGGAATCCTAGAAGTCAAGATATTGAGAACTGCTTCCTTTGCACGTCTCCCAGGCATAACTTTGAGAGTCCCAGTTCTGTTTCTGTCAGCTGCAATTGTCTAAAATAGTGGATGGTGCATTTTGCCTTCCCCGGGGGCACGGTGGAATGAATGAAGAGATTGCCTGCAGGGAGGTCTTTATTCCTGAGGATTTTTCTTGCCCTTGTGCATCTCTGCTTCTGAAATCTAACACTGGTGTTAGTAGTATCTCATGGGTCACCTCCACAGCAATAACTGTCATGTGGCTGATGGAAGGTCAGAAAGCTGGAGCTGGACTAATTTGAGGAACCAGGTGGGCTCGTAAACAGTCATTATTGATGAAGAATGGATTTACTGGCTATTTACAAACAGCTGTTTTCTTGTGCCATTCAGTCTTGTTTTTTTTTTTTAACAGACTTTTTTTTTTTTATTGCACTTGAGGACTCTTTGGTAATGTCTTCTGATTTACCACTTGTCTGTGTTTTTAATATCAAGGAAGAACATGGATTGAAGTGATTGCCTTTGGTAGCAACTTTAGTGGTGATGGGTGTGGAGTTATTAAAATTTATGGTCATGCTGTTTTTGCAGCTATACTTGCTTGCCTTGGAAAGGCTTCTAAAAGATACCGAGGAATGTGAAGAGAGAGCAACTACCAAATTGTGACAGGAACTCAACCGTGCAAATGTTGTTTTTTTAATGTTCTGTTTGCTAAAATTTACATTTATTTTTACAATATTTCTTGATGACACTATCGCCAAACCAGCCAGCCCTTAGTTCACACCACCACTTTCAACTATACTAATGAGGGGAAAGAAAGCGAAAAGATGACTGACATTTATTTTAGTCCCAAAGTAAGCAGAGCCATGTGCTGTGGGAGTTTCACACGTATGTATTCTCCTAAAATCCTCGCAACAAGCTTCAAAGGTAGCAATTCGCTTTTCCCTTCCTCCACAGATCCTTTTATAGTAGGGAAATCGGAAGTTAAATAACCTGCCCAAGGTCATTGGGTTTTCAGAGCCGGAGAGAGGTATTATTTGAACCATGCCATGCTAAAACCGTGTTTATCCTATTGAACCAGTTAACTTCTCCAGTGCTCACAGAGTGTGACATATGGCCAAATGTTTGGATTGTTCCTTCTCCTGATCTCCATTTATCCCTTTTACTTGAATAATATTTTATTTATTTATATTATAAAGTGCTATCATACGAATCATTATAATTGCATCATTTTAGCCTTATAACGGCCCTAGGAAGTCTGGGGAGCTGGTATCCTGTCCCCATCATGTATTACTAAGAAAGGGTTCAGAAAAGTTAAGTGACTTGCCCAAAGGTCAGTCAGGGCTGTTTCCAAAGCCAGTGCTTTTTATCCCTCAAATCGTCTCCTCTCTGGACACCTGAGCCAGCCGAGTTTATTTTCATGGCAGCTGAGCGTCAGGGATTCAAGCCTAGGCAAGTCTATGGGTACTTGCCGTAAGACTTATAATGAACTGAGACAAAGCAGTTAGCCACAGATTATAATGCCACTGTGGTCCCATGACAAATGACAAGGAGGTTGCAGTAATGAAATCTTATTACCGCAAGTAAAGAGACCGCATCTGAGGTCTAGCACAGCCACATGTCCCGCTGTGGGGAAACACAATGCTTCATCTGGGTAGGGGTCTCCACTGACATTGGCCGTAGCGCTAGCAGGATTAAAAAGATGTCTCCGAAGCAGTGATTGCAGTGCCAAATGTGTGGCGCCTCCGATAAGGACCAAATATTTATTCTGGCAGAGATTAAATCTTTTCTTCCCCAGAATCTATTATGGATCTTGCAGAAAATCTGCCCAAGAATATATCTCACTGATCAGCCAACTCACTGAGCCAGAACCGCCCGATGCTACTGCTGGTTTAAAGGTCCCCTCTCTCTACCTAAAACTGTTCTCCATCCATGATTAATTAGTGACTCAGAGGCGAATTGAATCGCCAGCAGCCCTTTCTGTGCATCCAGGATTTATATAGTGGTTTCTCATTGAAGAACAGTGGTGCAATAAACAGCCCACATCTGTGGGGTGAGCAGAGGAGTAATGGTGTCTGCGGTCATGGTTTCTTAACTCTTCCGGTTCCCTCATTCTGCTAAACAGGTTATGATGCAGGTTACTATAGCCTTGCTTATCTAGGCCTAAGGATGAGTAGGTGCTCACACACACACACACACACACACACACACACACACACACACCCTTAGACATGAATGCCAACGCTTTAAGTAGGGGGAAGCAGGAAAATCATAATACCATTTCTGAATTCCCAGAGAATTAAGGAGAAAGAATAAAATGAATCATCACATTATTAATTATGGGCATGAAAGATGCAAAAGAACCGATCATCAGTTTCATTTCTCCATTTTAATGCTAAGTACTTTGTTTAGGGCTGGAGATGTAGGGGTGGGGAAAGAAAAAAAACCCTGAGAACATAGTGTCACAATAAACAGGGATTTACGAAATCATAAGTACATTTAGTCCCCATTTGGGGAGGCACCTGCATTCCTTTTCGTAGAGAACAGAACATGGGAATTGCAGACATCATTTTACATCGCATGCTATGCTATCCGGGCACAAAGGAGACAGCGATGTCCACCCCATATCAGAGCATTCCTGCATGCCAAAAGCAGCCTTTCTTAGCTTAGACGCCTACTTTCTAAAATCAAGACTCCTGGGTACTTGTCCATTCTTTTATCGGGAATAAGATGTGTTTGCATACTAAAGGAAAATTAGCAAGATGAAGAAAGCCTGTCTTTTGAAAAAAGAAGTGAAGTGTACCAAATTATCTGGAAACCAGTGCCTAAAATCTCATCAGAAGTTTTAATTTACTGACTTTAAGCACAATTGGTGCTTCATAAATATCATAGTTATGTATTGAATGAATTTTTATTTATAAATGAATGAACCCAATTACTAAATCTGAGTTTCTATGAAATCTTTCCTACACTTAGTTTATATGGCTTCTGGGCTTCTTTCTTCATATCTTTCTTTTTCTTATCCTTCTCCCCCTCCTCCTCCTTCTTTTTATTCTCCTTCTACTTCTTGAATAAGAACAGAGAGGATAACAGAGACTATGTGGACAAATAGAACATCAGAGTTACCACTAAATTTTATTGTCCTTGAATGTCCAACCTATTGCTTAGCCAAGAAGTCAGACAACTAGAAAAATGGAGAAAGTTGTCTCCTTCTCTCCTCACCCATCCCTCCTGACATCCTGCATGCTGTGATACCTTCCTAGGAGGTTGGCAGAAACTGATTATATCTGACCAGTAAGGTTACTTTTGTTTTGTGTCTCATTGTGAATACTAATTCTAACTCTTAGTCATAACCAATGACTGGAGGAGAAGAGTAAGAGTTTTAATAGCATTATTTATGTTTCAGTGCTTCTGGGCACTTTCGGGAAGTAGATGATGTCATCGCCTCTACCTTCACCATAATCATCACCTTCATTGCCGTGGTATTTCTCTTCTGGCATTCATTGTATTTTCCCTCCCAGAAGTCTCTTTCTGGGCCATTGGGTTCTCGTGTGCTACGTGGCATAAAGCTATAGCACTGAATGTTCCAGCCCTCTTTGGATGAGCCTTAGGAATAGGGCTACACGTGTGGGAAGAGTGGCAGCCATCTGACTCTGAAAACCCCAGCTCAGTTTCACTGACCTCTACTGAGGATACATTTTCTATGGGTTTGAGACCTGCACAGCGTGTCCTTGGGTGTTGATCCGTGATGCTAGCCCCTCTGCCATTGTCTCCTCATCATTCATTGTACCCCTTCCCTTGGCCTTGATCACCCCCCAAAATGTGCAAGTATGCTTATATTTCTTCTTTGATCCTAAATCTCAACTGTGAGGCGATCTAGGGTCCAGGGTCTAATTACCTCTCCTAGAAAATAGGCCTCATTGCTCTCACAGAAATGCACTTTGCAGTGTCACTACACGGCTCTTAGGTAGTTCTGTGGTTTCCAGCTTAGCTATCTGTGGAGAGCAAGCAAATGACGTAAGCTGTGCAGGGCAGCCCATGAGAGCAATCTGGGTGGCTTTATGCCATTGGTTTCTATGTTCAGGATGAAAGCCCATGGAGAAATGTAGGCTACTGTTGTGACCTTCATGCTGCCAGCTCCCTCTGGGTACCTACAGATTTATTGCTGGTTGGAGGACCCACTATAAAGGGAGAACACCTTGCGGTTGGTGCTAACTATGCCGTTTGTGTTTCTTTATCATAGGAGCAGGGGAAAATCGGAGTTGTCTTCAATATTGGCACAGTTGACATCTCTATCAAGGAGGAGAGAACTCCCGTCAATGATGGTAAATATCATGTGGTGCGCTTCACCAGGAACGGCGGCAACGCCACCCTCCAGGTGGACAACTGGCCAGTGAATGAACATTATCCCACAGGTACGTGTTGTACTCCCAGTGACCACAGACTCTCTTCGGCTCTCCCATTCTTACTCCTAAGTGGCAACTTTTTCATGACTCTCACCAAATCATAAAACACTGAATACTAAGCACATCATTCATGTTTTTTTTTTTTTTTTTTTTGTAGGACAAGATGAGTTATCGTGTTAGGGCTTGGGTCAGCATAGGGAGCTTCTGGAGACTTACTAACTATGCACTGAACACTTTCTGTCAACCTGACCAGTACTGCCTGACTGGCTCATACTAAAGACAATGGCTGTAGGCTTTCCAGGGCATTGCAAATGATGACCAGTGCAGGGAAGGGGTGCCATCTCCATCATGAGCTATCGTCGATAATCACAGAATAATCCCTTTGTTATCTGGACTCTGTGGTGCCATTTAGGCAGGTGAGGTTGAAGGTACAGATGGTCAGAGATTTCAGAAAGACTATGAAAGGAAGTTTACTAAACTTAAAGTGATGAGCATCAAGTCAAGGTAATGATGAGAGAGAAGCGAAGGGTGGGGTTTCATTCATTTGGTTGACTTGGCCCATTTTTTTCTTTCATTTATACTAAGCCTGCCTTGATATTCAGAGATCGGTCCTAGGAGGCATTTTAATAACAAGCATGCTGGTGTGGGAGGGAGAGGGGTTAATCATCTGTTTAAATTTGATGGTCAAGGAGCATTTGCCAGCAAACTCCCAGAGCCAGATGGCCAAATCAAGGGCAATGGGAGGAAAGGTTGCCTTATTTTAAAGAAGTCATTCAAATCATCCTTTAGCTTTCCCTCTCATCTCTCACTTCTCTTAGCAAAACAGCCCTGAACCCTGATCAAAAAAGTTCCAGGAATGGAAGGGAAAATACTTTGGCTAAGGGCCTTAGTTCCACAGTTGCATTATCACTTGGTGGATGCAAGAGACTAGCTCAGAATATTGAACTTTTCACTAATGTGGGCATGATGCTATGTTTCACCCTCTCTCTCTCTCCTATGCTTCAAACTCCCCATAATTCTCTTACTGCTGTCCTCTCACTTCCTTAATAGTGAAGTGAGCACAGAGATAAGGAAGCCCAAAGCACATTTTCAGAAGTTTTTAAGAGCTGTTTAGCTAATAATCATCACACTTGGGAGAAATACATAAAGTAAATTTGCTTATTTGTGGCCCAAGAATTTTGAATGACTTGAAGGCTGTAATTTTCATGCCTAACGCATCATTAATTTTCTTTAAAAGCCAATCAGAAGTAATTGTGCTACTGCCCCCCCCCCCCGAAAAACCAGAGTCTTCCTGTGCCTGGTTTAAGGATTATGGGAGCATCTACAAAAAGCATATGTACAAGACTCCCAAGCTATTGATATGAAAAGCCCTGCCTACCCATTTATCTACCATCTCAGTCTCCATACAATATCCAGCTCAGCCTTTGCTGGGAGTCTCTTGTCATACACTTAGTACTTCTCAGATTAGGGCACAAAAATGACTTTATGCATTTATCTTTGAGCCTTTGAAGACAGCCAGAGGTGTTAGCAGCTACTATGAATTCTTATCATCATCCAAATTTGCTAGACACTAATAGACCTGATTTTTAAATGTTTCGTGCTTAAACTCTGGGGGGTGGGTGGGCACGGGAATCCAAATAGCCTAAGATCTTAAAAGCTGTTCATCTGATTATCAGAAAACTCACTCTCTCTCTCCATGCATGTTATCACTGGCCCTGCTAATGCTGCTATAGGATTTGTTGTGTTTCTATTAGGAATTTCAAAGATTTCTAAACTGATGTTAACCCCTTGCCCTGAGATGATATAGAACCCACGAGTTTGCTGAAGACTCTTTAATGGTCATTTAAAAGCCACAGTAAGAAAACCGGTGACTCTTGCTGTGTGCCTTTCTCTTTGTATCTTGAGATCCAGATTATGGGTTGCTTACTATGTTCTCAAAACAGAATAAACTTTTCTTGAATGGCATTGCTTACCACTGAAAATGCTTATTACTAGTAACTATTGGCAATGGTTACTTAGTTATAATAAGTATTATTATTACAGAGCAAGATGCAGTAGAGCAGTTATAAATATGGGCTTTGGAGTCACCTGACTGGAGTTGGTACCTTGGTGCCATCAGCTCTGAGTCTAAGACAGGCTGGATTAAAACCTTGAAAGGCCCTAAGAGCTAAATGATTTGGTGCCTCTCCCCATATGCAATTCAAAATACAACAGTATACCATAAAATGACTGTAAGAATTTCTAATACTCTTGATTTTTCTTTTTTGATGATCACTCTAATGCTTTAAAAATATATCTTTCTCCCCAAATTCTCACCTTTTACTCTTTTTTCTTAGTTCTCTAAGTGTATATTCTTCCTATTTGTGGGATCCAGTTTCCCCTCAGTAACTTGAGACAAGCTATTTAACCTCCCAACCTCTGTTTACTGGTCTATAAAAGGGGGTTGTGTTAATACTGACTTTCCAGGGCTAATGTGTAGATTGAATGAATGTATGTAAAATGTTAATTAAGTCAATAATCAATGTTAGCTATGAGAATGACCAAATATTTGGGTAGCGTTGTTTTACTATGACGTCTTCACTCATACAGATGACTTCACTGTGACCACTAAACAGCCCACAGACTAGGTAGGGTGGACATTCTTATTCTCCATTTCAAATTTAAAAAGAGACGCAGGAAGATGCTGTGTTTTTCCTAAGGTCACATGTTTACTATGACAGAACTGAGACCATATTCTCCTGTTCTCAACTGGGCACAACTTCCACTCTTGTTCCCACAGAAATTGGGGGATATTTTGAAAAGTGCATGGATAGAAATGAGCATCTCTCTTCTTGTGTAATCTTAAACTTACTCCTTTTTTTTTAAAGTATCTATTACATAGGTCAGTACCCATAACCACACAAAGGTGGTTATTGTGAGATGTGGAGTCGAAAATCCTTTTAAAAAGAAAAGTTTGTTTTTTTTAGCTGCGCTAAAAGGCTCATTTCTATTGAGTCCAAGCTGTCCTTCTAACAACTACAGTATCGTGCTTCCATGAAGCAATTGGAAGAATACTGAGTATTTGAAGTAGTCATCATCATACTTCATTGCCTAGATTGGAAAGTGGTAATGGAAAGTCCAACATTCTAGTTTTATTTTTATTTTTTCTTTTTTTTTTTAAAGGGTAAATGTTTATTTGGAACAATCTAGTTTTTTAAATTAATTTATTTTTGAGAGAGAGCATAAGTGAGCAAGAGTGGTGGGGTCGGGGGAGGCTAGGAGGAGGGGCAGAAGGAGAGGGAGAGAGAAAGAATCTTACACAGGTTCCATGCCCAGCACAGAGCCTGATGTGGGGCTCCTCAGTCTCATGACCCTGACATCATGACCTGAGCCAAAATCAAGAGTTGGACTCTTCACTGACTGAGCCACCCAGGTGCCCCCAATCTAGTTTTATATTCCAGTCTTCCAAGACTTCTTAGGAATGGTCACCTTTTGACCTTTGGATACCTTATTTTCTCTCCCTCCTGCTTCCCTGTGCTACTGAAAGGATCCACTTAACTAAATTTAAAGCACCATTAGAGCAATCTGGCAATGTTTAATTTATATTAAACCATAAGATTAAAATACACCCTGTATCTGGGCATCAGAGAACAAAGACATCTGGTCAGGCAAGCTTGACACAATTTCCACAAAAGGGATGTATTCTTTTTCCAGGCTATCCTCTTTTATTGATAGTGATAAGTATAGCAACTATGAAAAGGAGTTTGGTTGTGCTACTTGTCTATTGCTAATGTTTAAACAGTAAAGAAATATGGAGTAGCTTCTACAGAATATTTACATAAGTTATCTCATTTTGAGGGCATGCTCTCAGGGAATTGTTCCTGCTCAACAGGTGTCTGTGTATCAGGATGAATGGGTCAACTCCAGAATCTTCTCATGGACATTCATAGGATTTTATGTGGCTTTACTAAAAATCCCACTGTGAAATATTTAGAAACCAGCTGGGCACAGGGCATGCAGCATTGGCTCTTTGTAAATCAGGAAGGATCCAAACGAAAGTAGTTTCTATGGCTATTGGGATCTTACATCGCTTAATTCTGGGTGTAGAACTCAAAAGCAACTTCTTTCTTTGAACCTGAAAATAGAAAGGCTAAGGAGCAGGAGAGGGAAGTAAAAGAAGAATCAGCCCAGAGCTGGCATCCGGGCACTAACAAATGTTCCTTATAAAGTCTCTGATTACTGTCTTGACATAATGCAGTGGTGGCGACAAGCGAGGGGAGGTGAAAGGTGACTTCAGCATGAGGAATTAATTTTAGTCCCAGCTCTCAGTCCCCTGGGAGGCTGAGCTGACTGGGAGTGTTCAAGATCCTCTCTGCCATGGCTGGGTGGCTGGCCGTGTCACCAGCCCTACTAGAACCCCGAGCGTGGTGCCATAGAGGCTTTTCAGGCCAGAGACGGGCTTCCCGGAAAATGAAGGCTGACAAGAAGCTCTGGTGTGTAGGACTTTACATCTTCCCACTGCAGATGGTGCTGAGGAGAGCAGGGTCTCAATTGTTTTTCTTTTTTTCTTGATATTGCATACCAACTCATTTGAAGGGCTCTTGCTTGGATTCCCCTTTTCGGGTCAATAAAATGCTCCTGATGACCTGAGCTTGAATGCTGTCTGACCACCCAGCTCAGAACACGAAAGGGTTGGAGAAGTGGCTCTCTTTCTAGGCCAGTAGATTAGAAAACTTATTAGCTGTATTTGAATGTGTCCAATTCCACATAATCTTGTCTTCATAGGTACTGAGAGCAAAAAAACATTGCTATAATGCTTAGTGATGTTCAAAATGCAATAGGAGAGATTTATTTGTCCACATCTCATCTTAGATGATTGAGATTTTGAAGGGTTAAAAACAAGTCTTTGTACTTGACATGATGCTGAAATTTCTCAGGTCTTGGGTTTTCATTGATTCCTACCCAGGAGGTTTTCGTTCCTTTTTCTTTCTGTCTTTGCCTGCAAACATTTGAGGCCTGGCCAGATTTGA